ACGCTCGAAACCTCAGCTTTTATAATCATAATGGTGGCCAATTTACCATTTCAACTTTGTTGATATATTCAAATTATAATGAGGATGTAGATTACTGTGCTCTATGCAATCCTTTTTCATTGACTTTTCTTCCAAGTGGGAGCTGAAAATTAATGGAAAATCACTAAAATTAATAATGAAAAAAAGACTAAATATTGAAATGAAGGGAATTTTTTTTTACAAGCACTTGATAAGGAACTTATATTTTGGTTAGTTTGAAATTGAAGTTTTGTTGCAGACATATACTTACATATAATAATGTTTTCCCAATTTTTTTTTTAACTTGAAAAATGGCAGACATTAATGTTTTTTTAAAATAGTTTTTAAACAACTGTTACCACCAGCAACTGTAGATAGCTGTGGACATAGTTAACTATGCTGTGGATAATGTTAATAGTATTTTCATTCTCTCTGAAGTGGTCCACTAGTTCAAGAAAAACAAGAAGCTAACAGGAAGCCTACGGCTGTGCCTTCATTTGCTGCTGCTTTCAGCAAATCAAGGCAACCTCAGCCTTCCTTGACAGCCATTGGTAATTTGGTGACGTCTCAACCCTCTACTCTCCATCCAAGCAATCCCTCATCATCAGCCATTGGTAACCTATCCTCCTCCTCCAAGTCTTCCTCTCGTGGAAGACGCTCTGCGTCGTCATCTTCATTATCTGATAAGTCTGCTGGACCAAGCCAATCTGCAGCCCGAACCACCTGTGCACCATCACGAAGTTGGAGAAGGAGTGACCTGCCTGAGCCTAGTACAGGCTTAAGGCGGTCACAGAGACTCAAAGAGACAACGGGATCTTGTGCCAGTAACAGGTTTGATTTTCTCATTGATTGCTTGTACACAATTGAATAGTGAGGGTATTATATCAACACACTTTGTTCTTATGCTTTGGTAGTGAGACTACTCTACTATATAATTAATGGGTGAATTGCAGTTTGTACTGTTCAGTATTCAGGGTTATAGTTCTTAAGGAAATAGTCTGTTAGTTGGGATAAGAACTGAGCTGGCTCAAAAAGAGATTTAGTAACAAACGAGTCTATTAAGCTATCATATTTGCAAGAGGGCAAACCAAGACATAGCAAAATTTTCCTGAAACAAGATTTCAGTTAAATTTTTTTACTTGCTGTGGTGGCACCAAAAATCAGTGACAAGATATTCTGGGGTTCATTCAAACCTTTTCACAGCAACGGTACGCTTGATACTCAGAGATTATGCATGCATCACCTAAAAAACATTTATTTCCCCTTACCAAATAATCAGTGGCCAGAATCCAGCTGAAGATCTTCACTTTCTCAGCCACCAAACTATGCTGGCAGCTGGCATTATTTTAGTGACAAACATGGATTGAGTAATTACGCTCCATTTGGAAGTGTGAGAAGTTATTAATAGAGGAAAGAGGGCATTTAGCATACAGAGAAAATATTTTAAAATGTACATATGTACATGCATATTGTAAACAATCATGGTAGTATGTACAATGGTGCGCACATTGTCTGATAATGTTTTTTTTTTCATTAAAAAAATCCTTTGGTTTCAGTCGGCGTGGGCCAGGAAAGAAGCAGTCGTGGACACGCCGACAATCACCCAGCATGTCAGCTGACAAGTAAGTTGTCAAATATTAGGTACTTGATCTCTAGATTAATTTTAATTGAATTTATAACCTTTGAAGGAGACAGTCAGTAACAATGTACTTCCTAGGCACAGAAAAATATGTATCTGTAGTGATCTTTCTCATCATGTTTCACTTTGGATTCATCATTACTTATGATTAGCCCTGATGAGTTGCATGTACAAACTGAACAATAGTAATCAATAATAATTTTAGTAACAGTGATAGTCATTTTTAATAAATTTCAAGTACAGTTGATTTCTCAGTTATCGGAGTTTTCCTTTGGTCACAATTTTGTCATGAATATTTATTAGTCATGACCAAGATCCGTAGCCATATTGTTTTTAAAACTACTGTTGAAAAGTGACGTACAGGGCTGGTGAGTTTGTTTTGCTTTTAAAAAGGCATTTGAATGAGATCTGATTGGCTTAGAGTTGCTTTGTTGGCAAGTGAGATTTAATGTTCTGTTGGCTTGTTTGGTGTGGTGTGCAAGATAAACAAGCTACACCTTGTCATGAATGTTTATTTATGATCATCACATCCTTGATGCGTAAACAATCTGTTCTTTTGATGAAAGATAAACAGTCTATAATTTTGCAATTAGAGAAAGGCTTCTCCTTCATAATTATTCTCCTGACCCTCAATTATCTGAACTATTTTGTCTAGTTGCTATGAGTCTGGATAATCAAGGTTTGACTGTACTGTGCTGTATTGTACTGTACTGTATTGTACTGTGCTGTAGTGTACTGTACTGTATTGTGCTGTACTGTACTGTATTGTACTATACTGTATTGTACTATACTGTGTTATACTACACTGTATTGTACTACACTGTATTGTACTACACTGTATTGTACTACACTGTATTGTACTACACTGTATTGTACTACACTGTATTGTACTACACTGTATTGTATTGTGCGGTGCTGTACTGTACGTGTATAAATAGTCATAGACGTGTATCAACAATGTACATCCAAGTATATGTTGTAGTTCAATTTTGTCCTTGGGTCAAATTTTATTTTCCTTTGTTTAAAACTCATTATTTTACTTTGTTTAAAACTCATTAACATGACCGAGAACTAAGGAAAATAAAATTTGAACCAAGTATAAATTAAATTGAACTACAAAATATACATTTTTGTGTAAAATCTCAGTGATAGTATTGCATTGTCATAGAGCATACGTAGTTAACTACACTGTACATGTATGCTATTGCTTTCTGTATTGCCCGTGACTTAGATTGTGTATATATTTTTGAACAGTGCTCCCCAGGAACCTGGATCTTTAGATGGAGGTAAATTTTTAATCATTCAAAGCTGTAAATTTATGGTAATGTATTTACTGATTTTTGACTCTTTAATAAAACATGCGACATTTTTTGTAAAGATGTTTGTTCAATCAGTTTGTTTTTGTTTTTTGTTATTAATTTCTTACATGTTTGTTTTAATTTCTTACATGATTGTTTAATTTTATCAGCATTTAAACAATAACCACAATCAAAAGTCAAGAACTTTAATTCAAATTTAAAGCTGAGAAATAACATTGTATTAAATTGAGTAATGTGCTTGAGAGATCACAGAACTCATCTCTAGAGGAAATGCACAAGCATGATTATTTCATGACAGCGTCACATGTTGTGTAATGTGGTTTTAAGTTACCTATTTAATTAAGGAACTGCTGAGAATTTGAACATGTCAGAAGTAATAGCATAGTGATTGAAATATGGTCCATCTGCAACTTGAAATATTCTGAAATATGAACATTTTACACTTAATAAGGTTATTAAAGCCTACTCACTCCTTGTGTGTCTCTTATGTTTTTTTGGCGATATCTACTGTTTAGGGCTTACATTGCCATTACTGTTATTCCTGTTAGACAAATTTAAGGCTGCTCACAACAGTTTGACCATTGTCTGCACAGAGGCTGTTTGTATCCAGAAAACAATTCCCATTAGTATTTTTTTTGCCTCACGAGAGTGGTACCATCAGGGTGGTAAGGTCAATCTATGTACTTTACCTACGCTTTGATATAGGAATGCAAAATTGGTCACACCACCATCGGTAGAGAGAAAATTGACCTTGGACCCGAGCCTCATCTGTGGCCATGTCCATTCATTGCATTAAAAGCATAGGCACAAAAAAGCAAAGTTGGATATGCCAGTAGAAAATGCTAGTTTTCAGCGTAGTGGGTTAGGGAGTTTTGAGATTGAGACATTTTCCAGGGTCCAATGACCCTAGATTGTAAACTTTGGGTAAAAAAATTGCTGATTAGATGAATGTTCTGGGGGCGAACCATCTCCGTGTGGACAAGGGTTAAAATTGCAGTGTGCAGCCTAGACTTTGTCTTATAACACGAATTATAGTGATGGCAAAGCAAGCCCCAAATGGCAGAAATTGCCAAAAACAACAACAAACACACAAAGAGTGAGTAAGTTTAAATTGTATAAGATTTTCAAATTCTCATCAGTCCCTTGCTTAACTTAACTCCGTGTCGCACAATACATAATGCTTTCATGAAATAATCTTTTTGCTTTTTCTCTGCTTGGGACACCTGTGGAGAGATTTAGGGGTTAAGTTTTGTAAATGCATGGAGAAAGTTGCTGATATTTTTACCTAAAAGGAAAAACTCTCACTTTCAGTATTTTCCTGACAGCTTTCATATTTTCATTTTCACCAGAAAGTAAAAGCTAGTTTTGAAGGGAGCCAATAACTTTTGGATTTAAGATTATTCTCACCATTGGTTTCACAGAGAATATATCATTTTTATTTCTTTTCTGGTGTCCTATTCCTGTTGCATTTGAGTTACTTTACTTTGTTTTCCCTTTTTAGCTCATGGAAGTGCTGAAGATTCTGCTCCTTCTGCTAGTGGTATTTATTTTTGCATTAATAGTTTCTGTGTCACTGTGCAAATTTTAAGGATAATTTTTCCTGATTTGGTGCAACTATTGTTCAAAATTAAAGTGTATGAATTGAGAGATGAAGTTCAGATTAAGTAGCTATCATGAAGTGCTAAGGGTAATGCTTTGCAATTTTAGGATCACATTTTTGTGAGCTTCCCATCAACCTCCAAAGCAGGCAGTAAGGGTGAAATCCACCAAGCAGAATAAAAGCTATGCTTGAGAAAAGATAGTGATTTAAAGACATTAACTCTTTAGGCAAATATCCTTGTGGGCCATATTGTTATCTATATTACAGAGACTTTCAGGCAAGAGTCAGGGAAGTATGCTGTATGGGTCAGTTACGCTGAACGATCACAATCTTTTTGCCTTTAGGCGAAGCCTCCAGAAGTGAGTTAGAGGGTTCTGGCAGCCTTGAAGATATGGAGTTAAAAGATGGCGAGTTATCAAGATTACAAGGTTAGTTTGTTTAAATGCTTTTTTCTCCCATCGCAGTTAAATTGTTTATTCTTCTGACTAACATGTTTACCTATATGTATGACAGTGATGTCACATGCTAATTGTTCTGAATTTTAGAATTTAAACTTAAATTTAAAATTCTACTCGGGCAGAAAAACTTCCTTCTGATTATTGCCTAGTGCACTAAACTCAAGATACAACTCCCCATCTTTAAAATAATTGTCTGAATTTGTAGTGCACATGCATGTCATGTTTGTATATTTTTTATGATGTAGCCAATATTTTGACTAAAAAAAAACCAAATTAAAAACAAACAAACAGATGAGTGTAACAATATTCTAATTTGTTGAACTGCAGCCCTCCTGGAGGCAAGGGGTGTTCCTTCTCATCTGATTGGTTCATTAGGACCACGGATGCATCAGCTGTTGCACCGAACTATCAGCTCTGGTTCAGGTAAATGAGTGGAACAAACTTGAAGAAAACTCTTCTTTCTATGTTTTTTTTTTTTTTTAATTAATGTTTTTTTTTTCAAGGATGACTCAGGAATAATTTTTCAAGGAAAATTGTCGGACAAAATACTTGTTGTACAGTATTAAGCAGTAGAGTGTATGCTACCATAGTAAGTAGCTACTAACTATGATGCTACTTACAATGATCCTGGGTAATCCTCTTTCTAAAGATGATAATATATATTTTAATTTATACCTACATCGTAACATTTGCTTTCAATGCAAAGGTGGTAAAGTCCAACAGATGTTGGCAGGGATCCAGTCTTCTGATGAAGGACAACAGCTTCAGTCTGTCATTGAAATGTGCCAGGTATGATACAGGAAGTCTAGATTGCTCTGACTAGTAAATTCCATGCTCCTCTGTTGTTTAGAAACATTGGATTTTGTTTCTCTTTCTGTGATTGCTGACAAAAATAAATTCACCATCAATTCAATATTACTTAGTTCTTATTAACCGAGCGGGAGGTCTGTATGGGAGAATCTTGACCGAGGTCACCAGTACAGACCGAACGCAGTGAGGTCTGTACCAGCAACCGAGGTCAAGATTCTCCCATATGGACCGACCTAGCTTGGTTAATAAGATGTTTATTATATGGCTGTGTCTTGTATGCCAATTTTTTATATTCTTTGTACCTTTTTTTCTAGACCGGTCTAGAAGCCAGTCTAGATGGGAAAATCTAGACTGCTTTCGATATTGATTTCAGCCAATCAAATTCGTGAGTTCGGTAGTTCCCAGTCCTTGTGAGACACAGCCTTATAATAATGCACAGTAAAAAATAATGTAAAATTTTGGTACAACCTATTCTCAGTTTGACTGTGATGTCTCATTTACTTTTTTATAATTCAAATTCCTATCATCACTGCACATTGAAAGTCTTCCCCCCAAGATCGCAAGAACAAGAGACATTTCTATAATGATTTTTGACAAGCCCTTAATTTCACTTTTATATGCTCCAACTCTTAAATGATTCCTGAATTGAAATCAGTGTATGAAAACACTGATTTCAGTGTATGAAAACACAGCATTTTTAAAAATTTTGTTAGAATAAAAAAATGGATTTTTTTGGCTTGTGCAGAAACAATCAAATTGTTCTGATCTACAGTGTACCTTGATATCAAAGTGCTGCAAAAATTAGTGTAAAAGACTCAAAAGACTTGATGTATCTTTTTGGTGTTTGTGTTTGTAGTTTTTAGTAATGGGTAATGAAGAAAGCCTTGTTGGATTTCCTGTGAAGCAAGTTGTGCCAGCACTTGTGAGTAGTGACTTATTTCTTACTACACCATGTGTAAACACTGTGTATACAGAGTATACATTGTAGCCAGTGTGGCTGACAAGCTTGAGACTCAAGTCAACTTGCTGATGTGTCTGGTGGACAAGCAAGCCATAGCAAATTGAAGTAAAGTTACCAAAATTACAATGATGTGGAAATTAGTGTACAGTACCCAAGAGTTTTTCAACTAATGGGAGACTTTCAGGTAGTTTTGGTCTCCTGCTAAAGTGGCTGAAAAAGGGATAGCTTGCAAGTATGTGTGCATTTATTTAGCAATTAAGTTTGGGTTTTTTACTCTCTGATACACTTTTAAAGGATTAATTGAAAATGGGTGGTAGGTTATCTTTTGACCAAGGCTGTTATCCTTTGCAGGTAAACTTGCTTTCAATGGAGCATAACTTTGATATGGTAGGCACAGCATTTAGTTTGATTTTAACTTACAGTTAATTTCTTTGAACTATGCACACACTGTGTTCATCTTTGTTGATTCTTCTGTACATTAATTTTTGGGGATTTTTTTTATATTTTATCAAAGATGAATCACGGCTGTCGTGCCTTAACCTATCTTATGGAAGCTCTGCCCAGATCAACTGCTGTTGTAGTTGAAGCAGTACCTGTGTTCATAGAGAAAGTAAGTTGCAAGATTAATTTGAATAATGAAAATAATAATTATTAAAAAAAAAAATAATGATGATAATAGCAATAATGACATTATTTCCATGATAGTTTGGACCTAACAAAATGGAAAAATCATTAACCGACAATATCAGTTCTCTCAACTTTGAATGCATCGCGTGAGCTTCTATGCTTTACAAAACTGTGCCATTCATGGACTAACATTGAACCTTAAACTTCATTCTGTTTCTGTAATTGGCCCAAAACTTTGGAATTCTTTGCCCGACAATTATACTCTCTCTTTAAATACTGGTAACATAAATGAAGTAAAGAAAAGCTCAAAGATGTTTTTAGATTTGATTTAAAATATTACCTGTACACGGGGTTCTTGCAAAGTTTTTTCATAGGAGGTAAAAAATAAAAAATAGCAGGAAACTTCCCACATTCCCCACATGCTGGGGGTGTGCAGGCTGTAAAGGCCCTCACCAGAGTCTAGGGCAGGTTTTGCTCACATGGATGCTATGTTGTCAACCGTGATGTTGTCAACCGTGACCGAACAAAAAGGCCCAGTAAATGCTGGGCCTTTTTGTTCGGTCATGAGAAGAATGGAAAGGAAACATGGTGGAAGGAATTTTGTGTGGTGACTGTGAGGAGTGAATTTGGTTAAAAAAAGAAAAAGTGGGAGTTCTTCAACATTTGATGTGTTTTCAAATGGGTAACATGTGTTAGATATCTTCACAGCATTGGTCGGAAGGAGACAAGTAATATTTTTCCAAAAGATTGAAAAAATTGCTGATAGCTATGGTAAATACTTCAGTCCTGGGTTTCAGTGAAATAGCCGGTAATGTTTACTTGAACAGCCGGTAAAAATGGCTGGTTTGTGGCTCTTAACAAGAACCCTGTGTTCATTTCTTGTTCCTTTCTTGCTCTCGGTGGGTTGGTATTCAGAATGAGAGAATGCTTGAAAAGAATTAACATGAACCTCCCTATTTATGCACTTCAAGGAGGATTTATTATTATCATTAGCAAATATCCTAGAGTTCAGGAAACACAGACCAAATGCACATCTCTTATCTCTTATTAAAACTAGTCTTCTTGTAATAACTGTTTTTGCCATGTCCTAGCTACAAGTGATCCAGTGTATGGATGTTGCAGAGCAAGCTCTCACTGCCCTAGCAATGCTGTCTAGAAGACATGGAAAAGCTATCTTGCAAGCTGTAAGTATTCTCATGTTGAAGTTACCCAAGTTGTCAGGTGGGGTTACAAAGACCATCGTCATTTGGATTTTTCATGATACAATACAGATCATCCTGTGGAGCTACACATGTGGGCCGAATATACTGCCATAGATTTATTACTTGCCATCTGTGATATGCTTGGGTTTGTTAGAATGTGGTAGTCAAATGAGTGGCAGAAAATAGATTGGATCTGCTCATTAAATGCTATCTGTGTGATGAATGGGTCATTTACCATGATGAGTGAACTACCCAGTTTAACCACACCTGATGATTATGGCTGCACAGTATGTAAATGAACAATGTAAAGTCTGTTTACATTTTAGCTGTTTATTTGTTTTAGATAGAAAAAAAAAAGATTTGTTCAGAAGGCATGCATCTGAAGGCATGTGAATCAAACTTGAGACTCTTCTAGTTCAAACTAGATGAAAATTAGAGCAATGATGTTTATTAATGTAACAATAATCTGTCAACAATATACAAGTCATGCATTTAGATGGCAGTTGATGCGCTGCGAGTAGTGTGTTGACCTTTTCTTCTTACTCTGATTCTGCGAAACTTGCAAGTTAAAAGAAAGAAATTAATCAAAGCAATTGAGATGTCTGGTTATTTTTAAAGAATTACCTATTACACAGGCCTTGATTACCAGTAAGTGTATATCATTTAAAGAAAATGTTTTGTTTCTGTGATTTTAGGGGCATTTTATAATGCAATTTACCTTGTTTGTTGTTTTCTTGACTCAGGGAGGAATGTCAGCCTGTCTTCTGTACTTGGATTTCTTTTCAATATCTGCTCAGGTACAGAATGGCCCAAGGGCCGAAAAATTTATTTTTTCACACACTACATTTTAAACCATGCACGAGTATTTCATTTGAGCGATTATGTGAGCTTTCCTTTGTTGTTAGGTGTATTAAGGAACTTGAATTTTCTGTATGATGGTGCCCTGTCTAAATACTTAATACTACAAAAATACATATATCTTATTAGATGTTTTGATGTGTAGTGTCGCTGAATATTTTTACTAGTTGTGCTGTATTTTGATGAGCCTGTAGGGCAAGTCAAAATACCAACAATGAGTAAAAATACAAAGTGATACTACACAACAAAATGTCTAATAAGAGATTCATTAACCAACACGCCAAATTGTTATTTCAGTGCGGGTGAATTTCGCGGATATTTCTGGAGTACAAATATCGAGTGATATTTGCACTCATCTTGTGTGTTATTTGTTCTCTACGAAGCACAGTTGGATAATAATACCTACTACTACATGGCAACACTGCATTTCTTCATAGCTTATGAGAGATCCATCCATAGTGGTGATAATTTTGGTATCATAAACAACCCAGGGAAAGGAAAAACACTACTGAGATTGTATTTTTTAATTATTTAAGAATTTTTTACACAGGCCTTACCTTAATGAATGACTTTGCATATATTTTCAGAGGTCAGCATTATCTGTTGCTGCCAATTGTTGCCACAGCATTGGTGTGGGTGACTTTCATCTTGTTGCAGATTCCATTCCAGTTTTAAGTGGCAGGTTACAGCACCAGGTTAGGGTCTTAATGCTGAAACTTGAAATACTGAACACCAGATGTACATTTTCTTATTGAATATGATCACTAACACGACAATCAGATACAAGTAAACTTAACTATACATGGTGGTTTTCCTTCAATTTCTGATTTCTTATATGTTTGGTCAAATCATAGAGATTATTCTGAACATGTTTCTTTAGTTAATGGTTTTCTGAAGGTGATCCATTTTTATAATGATTTGATTTAGTGCCCCAGTTTTGACACCCAATCTACCGGTTAATAAGCATCCTCTATTCTAATAAGTACCCCCACTGAGTAAGCACTGTCATTCCAACAGATGCCCTCTATTCTAGTAAGCACCCCCACTGAGTAAGCAATGTCATTCCAACAAGTGCCCTCTATTCTAGTAAGCAGCCCTATTCTGTTAGAGCACAGGGACATTGAGGTTAATGGTTCTTCACTTCACCTAAAGCCTCATTACAAAAACAGTGGTCTTCCTTTCAGTCTGTAAGCTATTATGTCCATGTGAATGCACTGTTCCTTCAAACAAATGATTTTGTCATAAAATTTTGTAACAATTGTTTGGCAATTCCTTCTAGCCAGTAAGGATCCAGGGACAATAAGATGGTTCTCCAGTCTTCACGAGACTTTTTAAATAAATGTCAAAGCTGTGTTTGGCACCATCTGCTGTTTCTCAAACATTTCTAACCATGCTTTCTGTATTAAGTACCCATAACTCAAGTAACCACCCCCCCTTCAGGTACCAAAAGTAAATAAGAGCCCTGGGCACTTAATCAAATCATTGCTGCAGTAATTGTAAATCATTATTAACTTAGTCAATGATGTTGGTTTTAGTAGACTTCAACAGAATCACATAATTATGATGGACTTTGGCAAACTTGATGATAATTGTGTTTTTTAACTGTGAGGCCCAATAGTTGCAGTGAGTCCCCATGAGCATTTTGCCCTCATCCTAAATATGCGTGTGTCTGCTGTAACATCCTCTAGTATCCATAATTATATCAATCAAGTGTCCATGTAGCAACTACACTTGTGACGTGGAGTTGTCACGTACAAGGAAACTAGACTGTCAAACCATTTGCAGCTCATTTACTTCAATTACATGTTTGTAAGTTATCTATGGGCTTTCTGGCCTTTTGTGTGGAATTCCAGTGCCCAAGCAATTAAATTAACCAGGTGGCAGTCCCTCCACATTTGCATGGTTGTGGCAATGTAGAAACTGACATATTCTTGGTCTTTTTTTTTGACTGACTGTTGTAAGATGAACCGAATTTCCTAACTGGAAAATATTTTAGGTGTTGTCTAATATGTATGTTCTTAGTGTGGAGGCTCATCATTTCATTTGTAATTGTTAACATGGACATTTTCAGGATAAAAAGTCTGTTGAGAGCTGTTCTGTGGCATTTGCTCGACTGGTGGATAGCTTTCAGACTAATGAGGTTAGACTCATTAAACACTTTCTACTTGAAACATGTTTTCCTTTTTCTATTAGGAGCTAGAGAGTGTGCTGTTAAGATAACAGGTCAATGAGCAGTAGTGCTCAGGAAACTTAAAACACATTACTTCAAACGTAATTGTAATGCTCACATGCTAAATAGTGGTAGTTGCCAAATGTACCTTCAACCACAAACATGAAATTAAGGTCAATTACTGAACTCCGCCTTCTGTTATCTCAAGTATTGTTCTCACATTAGAGGTAGTGAGAACCACACTTGAGATACAGTGTAACAGAAGGTAGACTTCAGTGATTTTAACTGGTACTGCCGCCCAATTAGCCCAAAGGATAGTGCGCTGAACTGTTGTGCGGGAGGTTGAGGGTTCGAGCCCCGGCCGGACCAACACTCAAGGTCTTAAAATAATGGAGAAGAATTTGCTACCTTTCTATAACATCAAGAAATGGTTAGATATTCTAGTCTTCTCGGATAGGGATGAATAAATGGAGGTCCTGTCTCCTGCAGGGTTGGGGTAGGAGACATTAATTTCCCACACACGAGATTACTGTGTTATAGATGTATAAAAATTTGAGAAAGATGATAAATTTCTCTTAGCTTGTGGTCAAATGAAAGGTGGTGCTATTTTGTGGTGTCATGAGCATTAGACATAAATAATTAAAAGTATTTTTCCTTGTTCTGTGATCTGCAAAAAAATGATTTGATGCATTAATTTTTACTCTGAGTACACTATTTTGTTTTCCAGAAACATCTGGAAGAGTTGGCTGCCCATGGCCTGCTTAATAACTTGCAACAGTTGGTAAGAATTAATTTTTCTTTTAATCCCTTTGGCTTATCCTTGAGGTCATGGATATATACCGGTACATTCTCAGCTGAGGAATGTGTACAAGTCATGTCAAATAAACTCTCTTCAATCTCTCAAATGTTAATTAAGTCTCAATCACAGTCTGGTCACTGATATATTATGTTGTACTTCTTAAAAAACAGCCATTTGTGTGATACCTTTTTGCTATAAATATCTACCACCAAGTCGTTATCTCTTAATTTGACAGAAGGGTCAAGTACTGTGTATACTTTTAAAAAATTAAATTTTATAGTTGCTTAACTTTTGGTTGGAACTAGGAGGCCATACTAGCTCATTCATAGAGCATTCCTTGTTAATAAAAACTGCCCAACCAGTTTGCTTCTTAATTGCCTATTTGCAAGATGAGAGTTCTAATGAAGATATTATTCTTGATGTCTTTATAAAATGCTCTGGGTGGTCAGTTTCAACTCATGGTAAAAGCCCAGCTTTTAAAGAAGTAACATATCTAATTTCTTCACTTGATACTACTTTATAGCTTATGATGGCCCCTCCAGTCATTAGTACTAGCACCTTCGTGATGGTGGTGCGTATGTTGGCTGTGTTGTGTTCCAACAGTCCAGTGATAGCTGTGCAGCTTCTGAGGCAAAGTATGTGATTTAATGACTTAAAAATGGAACTTCAGTGGTTGGAAATATATCAAAATAGTGTGATCTGGGATTTCTTTTTTTTTTTTCCTGACATAAAGTATGGAAAAGTGATCCTTAATTTATTTGAAAGTGGCTGTAATGAAAATAAAAAACTGCCCAAGGTTATTTGTTTACTTACAGTGACTGTGCCAGGTTAAGACTGTGTCTCTTAGCTAACCTGAAAATTGGTTTCAGTCCTTTCCAGACAAGGAAAATTAAAAGTTATTGACTAACTATATTAAATTGTTTCAGATGTGTCTGATACAATTCTGTATTTATTGCTGGGCACCACAGAACCTGGAGAGGTAGAGAATGCTGAGGTACAAGTGTTTCGTTTGTCTTCAAACCATTTTTGATTCTGCAAAGTTTCCTTTGTAATGCAATTTATGTTGCTAGTTTGATTTGGATGAAATGAAGTGTGTCTGTAGTGTGCATATAAAGCAAGAACTCTAACCTTCATGGGTGATGTAATTAAAAAATCTGACTTTCATACCATGGGGAAAAGATTTTAGATGTCTTTCAGTCACTATAATTTATAATGCTTTAATTTGTAACAAATTATTTCTTTTTGTAGTTGTTGTCAAGAAGCCCACAAGAATTCTTTGAAATAACTTCTTTTATCAGGTTTGTTTTCAGAAATTAATTTTACACATTTTTCATTAATTACATCTGTTAGCTAGAAAATCAAAATCGTTTAACTTGAGCCTCACATTAACAAAAACTTTTCCCAAATGTGACATTTTCCTGTCTTTCACTATCAACTTAAAAATTCTTCGAGCTGATTTTCTTTTCCCTAGCCAGTTTGAGGTAGTGACCTTCTACTATATTTCCCTCTTCAAAGGATTTCTTATAACCTTTCTTGATACATTAACTCAGATCCAATTTGTTTCACAGATTACCATGAAATTAAGACTAAACACTTGATTTCACTTTTCTCAACAGTGAACTTCTACCAAATTTGCCATCAGATGGTAAGTTCTTGCAGTGTACACAGTTGGATAAACATAATTGATAGTTATGGCTGTGTTATTTTGAAAGTTCTTGTGAAAGCCTCTCAACTTATCACTGAGAAATGTTTGTCTTGCAACATGTACAATTCTTCCTTAGCAGGCTTACTACATTAGGTGGATGATTTCCCTATTTGTGGCAGCTCACAGTGCAGGTTTATAGTGAGGTACTCTTGTCTAAGTCTGAAGCTTTGATTACAGGTATCTTCTCAGTTGATGCTCTGCTGTGCAAACCACAGCAGAAGGCTGAACAAGGACTGTGGCAGTGGAGAGATGATAGGGGACTGTGGCACACATATTCATGGATTGACAGCAAGATTATTGAGGCTGCATACCAGAGTGGAGAGGATGAGCTTACTCTCACTACACTGGGAAGAACTTACACTGTTGACTTTAACAGCATGCAGCAGGTATCCCTAGATTATGTACCTAATTAAAAATTTGGTCATAAAATTAGATTTGAAAAGAAATTGTTGTAGTGATTCTAGCCTTTTGCATGAAATTCCTCAATAATGAACCTACATGTAGTAAATGGTGTAACTTTTCAATTTATATCAGTACTTCACTTGTCTCAATGTAGAATGACAATTGCATTTGGTTAATGTTTCCTAAGTGGACTCAGATCTTTTTTTATACTATTGTGTTCTCATAAATATTGATTTTAATATTACCTTACACAACATTGTAAAACTAAGTCTGAATTGTACAAAATTTTATTTCTTGAGGGTTTTGAAGTTATTTAAGGCTGTTTGTCAATCTTGTAGAATTTGAATCAAAGTGGACTGTATGCTGTTACTTTCACTCTACAGACAAATGAAGACACAGGTACTTCAAGACAGATACAGCGATGTCCAGGAGGAAGTGAAACATCTACAGCACAGTCTAAGACAGAGGAAACAAAAATCACCAAGAGTGATGAACGTTTAGTTGTTTTATGTGAAGATACCAAGCTAGCTTCATCGTACACTTGTGTTATGTTTTCTGCTTTATACAAGATATTCAGCTCTTCTGTTGGACCTGCAGTGAGACACAAATGTGTGAATGCTATTTTGAGGGTGCTGTGTCATGCCCCTCCTGATCTGTTGGGAGTGGTTCTTAAAAGACAACCCATCTCCAGCTTGATAGGGGGAATGCTTCAATCAAATGACTTGAGAGTCATAACTAATGCTCTTCAAATGGCTGAAATTGTCATGCAAAAAATGCCGGATGTTTTTCATGTATCATTCAGAAGGGAAGGAGTGATGCACAGAGTTAGAGATTTGGCCAATGGTCTTTTGGCTACTAAATCAAAGTTATCAGGAAAAAACTGCTCATCAGAGTGCCTGGTAGATACTAGTGAAATTGAAAACCCTGGACAGAGAGCGACAGAAAATGCCCAGTCATTACCAGTTACCAGGTCAGATATATCTCTATAAAAAGACTTGCATTTAATTTAGTAATGGTATACATCAAAAATGTTATCAAAAGTAGTATTTTTGCATCTAATTTACAATTAATACTTGTTCCTCCTCTCTTAAAAATGTCCCTTGCTTGTGGCCTTGAGCCATACCTTAGACCTTGGGCACAGTTTTTCCCAATGTGTATTGTTCACCCAACAAATAACATACAATAGGTTTCTTGATTGTATGAACTTTCACATTACAGGAGACTGGGAGATGTGTTGCGGAGGAAACGTTATTCAAAAAGGCCTGGCAGAGGAAAGGCCAGTAGTTTTCCCAGCACATCAGAAGCACATGTCGAGATAAATAGAGACCAAATTGGAATTCCCTCTTCAAAGACAATACTTCATGAGAGCAGGGCTGCTTTTCTGGCCTCTCAAGTGTCAACCAGACTTAACTCCAAATCTGCAGTTCTTTCGGAGCGACCAGCAAAGGTGGAACTTGTTTGATGGATTGTGTTTTTTGTTTTTAAGTTTTATGGGCAGTCTTTTAAAATATGATTGATATTTACCTCACTGCCAAATGTAACATAATAAAAAGCATTTTGCTAATCATAAATACTGCATCTGTTTTTCTAAAGCTGGAAACATCTGTTGCAAGCAGCCTTTCAGAGAACAGAGAAAAAATTTTGGCTTGGATTAAAGATCAAGGTACATGTATAGTTATTGTCAATTGTCATCTGGTATTTAACCACAGTAATATTGTATTACTTTTTCACTGCTGCTTAACCAATGGAAAACTTGATTTTTACCAACAGCAACCAAGTTTTGTGCTGAGTATTTTGATCAGCAGAAGGGAGACTCTCACCCAGCACTTAGTGTACTTCGACAGTTAAAGAGTGCTTCAGAGGAGTTGGCTTTAGATGTAAGCTTTGAAAACTAAGACTCTGTTAATGATGTTATGTATTTCTAGGCAAAGAAGTACTTTGTATTATGTTGCTATTGATATGATTGTGAGAGATAAACAAACGTGTTCTTGATGAGGCACTTGAGGCACTGTGTTAATCTGTCTTGATCTGGGATATTGTTAGCTTGCATAGGAGGCTTACACCAAGCATATAAGTTAAAGTTATACTTGGGAGTGGAGACATGGAGGGAGACTCTTTGTGTCTTGTTTGCATTTGCCTCTCCAAATAACCTTTATTTGAATCAATCAAGTGTATGCTATGCAGGCAAAGACATAGTTATAGTAAGTTGCAGTTCTAAGTATGCTATTTGGTGTTGTCTTTTCAGAAAGAAACATTTATTCCAGCACTAGAGGTGAGTTGTCTGAGTTAAAAGTGTTAATTTAGTACATTGATTAACATGCTCTCAGTTGAATTTTAAATCAATATGAGGTTTTATTTGTGTAACCAGGAAGTCTCCGCTGTGCTAACTAATGAAGACAACAGTGCATGTGCATTTGAGATCCTCCATAGTGGACTGGTACCAAATCTTCTTAGGTATGTTTCTTAATTTGCGTATTACCGGTACATCAAAGTTCTAATCTTCATTTCAAAACTTTTTTCGGAAATTAGTTTTTCTCCAGTAGAACAATTTGATATCAGCTAATGTTACCCCGTAAGGGAAGAGATTGCCTTACAGTCATGCACTTACATACTCATTTATTTTATGTTGCGTATGGCACATTCACAGTCGATTGAATGAAACCTAGTTTTAGAGAATTTCAGTCAACTCGGGCTTTTTTCCTTTTTATCCAGATATCTAACATCTACAGAAGTTAATGATGCCCTTCCTCAAGAAACACGGCTCAGAATATTTTTCCATGTGTTTATGGGACTTCCAGTAAGTGTTATCAATTTCACAATTCATAAGTACAGTCAAACCTGTATTAAATGTTCAACTGCAGGTAATTGTGGCTTGCTACAGGGTGACCACTAAATACAGGTCACACAGATTAGGGGTATTATTAAAAAAAAAAAAAAAAAACCAATAAACAATGCCACTTTATGCAATAATTGATCATTTAATGTGCAGAATCTTGCTCAAAAATACTACTTATTTTGATTTTGGGAGAGAAAGACTGGTTGAAAATTACTTGAAATAGTATTTTTAGTGTTATTTGATTAAACTGCCTCTCAGTGACCATTCAGTGAAGGGCAAAAACAACAGGCCGTTGGGATTTTGTAAAGGGTGACCCCAACTGCTTAATAGAGGTGATTGCTGAATAGAGGTGACAGCTTACCTGCTTAATAGAGGTGATTGCTGAATAGAGGTGACCTCTTACCTGCTTAATAGAGGTGACTGCTGAATAGAGGCGACCGCTTACCTGCTTAATAAAGGTGATTGCTGAATAGAGGTGACGGCTTACCTGCTTAATAGAGGTGACTACTGAATAGAGGTGACTGCTTACCTGCTTAATAGAGGTGACTGCTGAATAGAGGTGACCGCTTACCAGCTTAATAGAGGTAACCGCTTACCTGCGTAATAGAGGTGACTGCTCAATAGAGGCGACCACTTACCTGCTGAATAGAGGTGACCGCTTACCTGCTTAATAGAGGTGATTGCTGAATAGAGGCGACTGCTTACCTGCTTAATAGAGGTGACCGCTTACCTGCTTAATAGAGGTGATTGCTGAATAGAGGCGACTGCTTACCTGCTTAATAGAGGTGACCGCTTACCTGCTTAATAGAGGTGATTTCTCAATAGAGGTGACTGCTTACCTGCTTAATAGAGGTGACTGCTTACCTACTTAATAGAGGTGACCGCTTATCTGCTTAATAGAGGTGACCGCTTACCTGCTTAATAGAGGTGATTTCTCAATAGAGGTGACTGCTTACCTGCTTAATAGAGGTGACTGCTTACCTACTTAATAGAGGTGATTGCTGAATAGAGGTGACCACTTACCTGCTTGATAGAGGTGACTGCTCAATAGAGGTGACCGCTTACCTGCTTGATAGAGGTCAAAAGTACACCAAACGAATCTGGGACTTTGAAAACTGACTGCTTAATGCGGGGTGACGGTTTGGTATAGTGTTCAATACAGGTTCAACTTTAATATTCTGTAGCATTTTTATAAACGCTTCTGGACTGCACTAATAAATAACCAGTGGAAAGAAGAAGAAATTATTACACGCTCATGAATCACTTTTTTTTTCTGTGCAGGAAACAAGTTCCCCTGGAGATTTAAAGATCACGGTACATATATTTTTCTTCCCAGACACATATTCATGTGTGTACGTTATATTATCTCTGTGATCAGTGTTCTTTTTTTCTATGTAGTAAAGTATTATCCTTCCTCACTTCCCTTTAAAATTCGCTTTCGAACAATGGAATTTCCATTTGAGGTGGTCTATTAGCTTTGTGGAGTGAGTGAGGTGGTGTATTAGCTTTGTGGAGTGAGTAATAGCTAAAGTGAGCACATCATGTCACACATTGTAAAGATGAGCTCTCAGGTTATTCGAGTTGAAGCAATGATGATGCTAAAATGTATGTTAAAGTTGTCAAAATCATTCTGTATTAATTGTTTTTTTTTTTTTTTTTTGGCAGACTAAACCTAATGTAGCGCCCATGGCTGCCCTGATACAGAAACTTCACTTGTGCATCAACCAGTTAGAACAAGTCAGTCAATATTTTATAAAAAAACATTTATCTGTCTCTGGATAAAATCTTATTCGTAGTTTTTTTATGTATAGAAAATTTTGTTACAATGCACACTATTGTCAACTCTATCTATGGTAATGTAATAAATAGGCAAAGCGTAAGATTCTAACTTAACTAAATGCACTCAAACAAAATCAGGATGTCCAGGTGGTTCATTTGTGTTTTTCAATGAGTCAGTGTATACACATCCCTCAGCATCTCTTCATAGGAGGTTAATTGACTAACAATGCGTCCCTTCTTTCACCAGCTCCCAGTCAAAGTTCATGATACACCGGGAGGGGCAGTTGGAGCAAGGTGCGCTTCATTTAACGTACTTCAATTATTATCATGATTTGTAATGATAAAAAGTAATTGATGTCACTCACACCTTTTATGGTTTTTTTCTTAGAGGATCGCAAGCTCTAAGATTTTTCAGTTCTCACCAAATCAAGGTTTGTTTAATTTTTCATATTACATACACCTCATTAACTGCTTTCGGAATGTCCAACTATTTCCTAAATTTGTATGGCACTTTTGGTGTGTTTGAGTGAAGTTACATAACATCAGAAGCCTATAGCCCTGTTCTAGGTCATGAGCTTCCGATAAATGCAATACACAAGTTATTTAAAACTCACATTTGGTTTGCTGAAATTTATGAAAAATTGATATAAACTGCTCATACGCTCTACATACAGTGCCTTTTACAAAGACACCCAGACTGTGAAGGGTTACGACAGTGGAAACGTGGACCAGTCAAAATTGATCCACTTGCTCTTGTTCAGGTATCAATTGTCCTTTAATTTCATTGAAACCTGTTGTACTCCATACACTGTTATTTTTTTTTAATTTAGCCTCTTCCTCACTCGCTTCTCCTTTTTTCGTTTTCAGGCTATTGAGAGATACCTTGTTGTTCGGGGATACGGGAAAAAACGACAGGTTCGTTGACCTGTCTCTTTATCGTTAAGGTTTTTATTTTAGCTGAAATGAAACCAGTAGGTTTATTTGCCCAAAATTACAGAATGCCACCAGTACACGCTTAGAACAAGCAAACCAGTAAAGAATAATGGAAGGATATATTTTTATTTAGTAGTGTCAAAAATTCGTTTTTAAAAGTAATCGTTAGACACTTAATAATGCTGTTTAAGACTTCCCCTGAATAAACTTCAAATGGTTTGTTTTAAATCGCCGTGTCTGAATGCACGATATTTTGGACCTCTTGCAGAATCCAGAAGATGAGGGAAGTGAGGATGACGGGTAAGCTACTGGGGTTAGCAAACACTGATAGAGGCTACCTGGACAATTCATTATTTCAATTCCAGAGCTCTTTAGAGGCCGAATGCATTATTCTACGGCTAAACTAAAACTCACCGATACAGTTATGTTTAAGATTGATCTATATTTGGTGGTGATGTTCAATAAAATCATGTGGACAAATGATTGTTTTTGGATTTATTTTATATGATGATTTTAGCCGTGTTTTTGCTTCGTTCCACCTTGGGTTAATCTACCATCTCATGACCAATGTGTAGTTGTGAAATGATTCATTTCGATAGATTATAAATCTTAGTGCTCGCATAGATCAAGGTGACATTGGTCGAAGTAATTGAAGCTAGTAGCGCAGCAGTAACAGCAATTAGATGCTGTCAGATATTTCTCTTTTGAATGAGACTTAATTTTCACCATCCATGCTCAAACGTTATCATTAATGATCAATATTGCGTGTTTCATTTCTTAGGTCTGATGATGACATTGACGAGTCTTTGGTAAGTAGGGAAAATCTTCCTCATTGTTCCTTGTTTAATGTTGCATTCGTTGAAAACTTATGGTTTACGTTTTGTTCTTAACAGGCAACTGAACTGCAAGGTCAAAACAACTCAAGGTATCTTACTTGACATTACACTGAAATACTGATTCTAGTTGTAGACACTGTTGGTTCTAACTTCTTGTCATCGTGAGAGTAACCTTTGCATTTTATGTTTTTTTCAACGAACTGTGTTTGTTCATGCAGGCATCAACTGGAGATTTTATTGGGAGACCACCTTCTTCCCTACAACATGACAGTTTATCAGGCTATCAAGCAGTATGGTCAGGTACTTTCATTACCTGGCGTCCACCGATTCGTTTAAATACATGTTTAATAAGATAGTTTTTTTGTGCACTCGTTGGTAACTTTCTTGATATTATGAGTTGCATGACACATGCGTGCACTGTCTGTTATTGTTGAAACGTGCGGAGGGAAAAAATTAACATGGTTATTTCTGAACAGAACTGGAGAATACGGAAACAATAACCTCTATTTGGCGCGAAAACATGCTCGGATATTTTTTCGCGGACATTATTTGTTCCAACATGCGAACAATTTTCCGAGAGCGAAGCTCAAGGAAAACTCTGAGCTTTGAGGAACAGGTAATGTCCAAGGACAAATACACAAGCAATGCAACGGAAACGCGCAGAAAAATTTTTTTTCTACGAACAGCTTACTGTTTGCAGCTTAAGATTTTTTCATTTGAGTTTTCTCTGGTATGATTTATAGGCAAACAAATTTTTCCCCTCTTTTGCAACAAGCACATAACGCTCTTACATCTTGAATGAAATTTTGAATTAAGACCTATTGTAGTGGACGTTAGGTTTCAAAATTGAGTAATATCACCTGGGTGATGTCCTTGGCTATCCTCCAGTTATATGGGGGGGAGGGGGGCATTTGGTCACGTGATGCGCTTAGATCAACCGCGTGCGAGCAAAAATATTTGATGGATCACAAAGGAAGATAGACATCAAGCTTTTTGCCTTGAAATACTTTTCCTTTAACTAAATCTTACTAAAAATGATGCTATTTCATGTTTTAGTGTGATGAGGACAAAGACTTTGATGATGACCATGGTGGCATCCTTGGCAGACCCAGTATTTGGGTCTCTACCCATACGATATGGTAAGTCCAGTCTTTCGTGTGTGCGGACATCCGTGAAACATCGAGAAAACCTGACACCGTTTGATCTACGCTAACACTAAAATGATCAGAATTCGTGCCGAGAAGTAAGGCGTCGTTAGTTTTACTCGTTATCAACTAATTGTAGAGCACTGCTCTGCAGGCCGGTCGTTTTTGCAGGGAGGATTTAAACTAGAATTTAACATGTGAAGGTGTAGTCTGATCGTCCGGGTGAGTGTAGTCCTGAGAAGGACTGTTGTCGGTGGTAGTGACTGACGTTTCGACAACCTGTGCGGAAGTCATCATCAGAGTCAAGTGAATGATTGTTGTCAGTAGAATGTTCTTATTCCAGTTCGTGTGAAATGATCGGTTGGTTTTGCCGTGATGTTATTGGCTGTAAGACTCAAGTGACGTAAGTCGGTCGTGATTGGTCTGTTTCGATCTGTCGTTAAAGTTAGGTCGTTCTTTTTCGGTCGTTTGTGATGTTTATGTCGTGAATGAGTCGTTTGTATGGAGCGGGTAGTTGTTGACATCTGTTTAGGGGAGTCTGTTCTAAGTTAGTAAACCAGCTTTCCAGAGTCAGTCGTTGAAAATAGTCAGTGCTGTAGGTTAGGCATTGCGCAGAGTCCCAGTCAATGTTGTGGTTGGTAAGTCGATGGTGTTCAGCAATGTGATTGCTGACATCACCTTTTCTCGTCGCCCGTCTGTGTTCAGTCAGTCTTGTTGTGAGGTTTCTGCCAGTCTCACCGATGTAGGAGGCTTGGCAGTCGGAACAATTGATCTTATAAATCGTTCCCTGTCTGTTCCTCGGTTCGTCTTTGTCTTTAACGTTGGTTAGTAACTGACGTAGTGTGGTGATGGGTTTGTGGGCGACGCGGATATTGAAGGATAGTAAGATGCGCGAGATGTTTTCAGACATGCCTTTTATGTACGGCATGGTTGCTGTAGTGAAAGGGGTTGCGGTGTCGTTTGTTTCGGTAGTGGTAGTGGGTCGGTGAGTGTTTCGTCGGATGAAGTCTTTGTTGTAGTTGTTCTTCGTAAAAACACGGTGAAGGTATTTGTTCTCGTCGGATAAGCTGTCTGTCGAGTCGCATACTAGTTGTGCGCGTCGTGTTAGAGTTCTGATAGTTGTGGCTTTGTGTGATGTAGGGTTGTAGGATGACTCGTCTAGTAATCTGTCGGTGTGTGTCGGTTTCCTGTAAACTGTCGTCCGTAATGAGTTGTCGTTGTGGCTTACCAGGCAGTCTAGAAAAGGAAGTTTGCCATTTTCTTTCTTTCTTTCTTGACTCTGATGATGACTTCCGCACAGGTTGTCGAAACGTCAGTCACTACCACCGACAACAGTCCTTCTCAGGACTACACTCACCCGGACGATCAGACTACACCTTCACATGTTACCCCCGAGTTCAAACCATTTACTGCATTAGAATTTAACAGTTGTTATCGTAATTATATTTCTTCAGGTTTCGACCTCTTAGCCAAAACCAAAAGGAGCAGCAAACTGTCAACAGTAGTAAATCTAAGTGTGGGGCCAGTGGAACGGCTTCACGAGCCTCCAGGAAAACATGGAAAGAAGATGGTAAACATTTGATGTATGAAATCAGACTTGTTCCTCACAGGCTTATATTTAACTCAAGTATTTTTAATTTTTTATGAAGAATCTGAAAATGAAATGTCTCTTGGTCAGCTCCTCGTGGCTTGTGAACCTGGATGCTTTGGTAAGTTAAAAAAAAAAACATAAAATAGTCAAGCGTTGTTTAGCCAATGAATCACCTTTTACTCTTAAACCATAAAACTTTTGCTTGTAACAGTCCTATTTTATTTGTAAGGCACAATTCTGTTATCAAAGGACTTTCAGCAACTAAATTTACTTAAATTTACAATATCCTTAAGGTCAAACAGCGTTTAAATAATCGATTTCAAATTTTAAACATTGCTTAGAGATCGACTTTCACAAGCGTTGGGTAAACGTCGTTTGAATAATCGGCCCTCAATGTTCCAAAGTATCTCGGATTTATATTTGTCGGGTTTTTTTTGTCGAATGTATGAAAAAATTTGATTTTAGGCGCTTGTAATTGAAGTTCACTCTTGAAATACACTTACACCACAAGATCCAGATTACTACCTTTGATCATATCTAAGCTATATTGTCAGGCTCATTATGTACCTACAGCTTTCGTTGTATGCAAAGGAGTACAGTGCCCTTGGATGAAATTTGGTCAAAAACTTTTCCTGATTTTGGAGTTTTTTTTTCCTGCTGTTATCGTCGTTGCGGGTCGTCGGCGAGAGAGAAATCGCGTTTAAATCATGCGAAGGACTGATTCGATGGCATCTGCTTGGAACTTCCAGAATTTCCTCTTGGACTGTGGTTACCTTCCTCCTTAATGTATTTAGATTTTAAGAGTGGTCGTCTGTAAAAGTCGAGCAGAGGTGATGGAAATAAAAAAATATAAATTTTTTTAAAACTTTGCCGGAACATAGGTATGAATGGCCGTAGTTACGGAAAAATATCAAAAATACCGAAAAAAAAATTGTTTTGGGAGAACGGTGGCATCTTGTGTATTGGGGGTTCATAACCGTGTTTTCCCGGTGAAATAGTTCACCTCACGATAACGGCCGAAAAAATACTTATTTCGCCAGCAATTCGATTCGGAAACTGCATAACAATTTTAAAACAAGGGATGTTTTTCAAAGGTTCTGAAGTATTTTTTCCAAGATATCTTTGAAAACGACTTTTTTACGAATTTTCTAATTCAGGTAAAATTTTAGCCATCAAAACATAGCTCAACTTTGGCGACTAAAATCGGCCATTGTTACATGGCTCCATAAACTGAGACAATAACCATTACCTAAAAGAAGCTTTCTTCTTTCAGAAACTGTAATAAAATTTTAGGGCTACATAAACTACGAATTTTTGGAGCGATGTATTTGAGCTCAAGAAGCGTATTACGTGACCAACGTGACTTGCACGTCACATTCAGAAAAACATTATCAAAACACTCGAATTCCCTCTTATATCATACAAAAACTTCGAAACAGGTCTCCTTCATATTCAATATACATATCACTTTCTCCTGAAGCCAAAATGTCAAGGTAATCTGGGCAATTTTCGATGGTCTAGTATATGCAAATTGTGAAGGTGTAGTCTGATCGTCCGGGTGAGTGTAGTCCTGAGAAGGACTGTTGTCGGTGGCAGTGACTGACGTTTCGACAACCTGTGCGGAAGTCATCATCAGAGTCAAGTGAATGATTGTTGTCAGTAGAATGTTCTGGAATAAGAACATTCTACTTCTTATTCCAGAACATTATACTGTTGTCAGTAGAATGTTCTGGAATAAGAACAGGACTACACTCACCCGGACGATCAGACTACACCTTCACATGTTACCCCCGGGTTCAAACCATTTACTGTATATGCAAATTGCTGGTTTATGTTGTTGCAACAGCCATATTCGCAACTAATACCAACCAAACAAAACAAAAACTTTGTTAACATTAGAAGGAATTGCCCAGGCTATAGTTACACCTTTAGAAGTGGTTTCCATGCCAAGAGTATGCACTTTAGCCCGCTCCACCATTTCAAAACATATGGTCCACGCTACCATTTCTCGCCACTGCAGTGCGATCGATGGTATGTGATTACATTACACACAGGAAGCCCATGAGCGTGAGAATGTTTATCTTCGCCCTCCTCTTTCTTGCTTGCCATTGTTTCAAATTGCCTCGTTTGCTAAAATGGCGGCATGCAGCTACTCGGAGCTCGTTGGTGGTTCATGTAGTTCCCGCAAGAGCAGTGGAGAAAGTAAATGCATAATCATAACTAAGTGCAAAAGAGACATCCAAGGTCATCTTACATGATATAATTGCCATGATGCTCAGCTGGAAAGTGAGTTCATTCTTCTTCTCGCCAGAGCAGGTAAATATCTCATTATCAAAAATGTCAAGAATGTGTAGCCAAGGCAAATACTGCATCCCTCTCTGTCTTGCTTTTATATTTTGCACTAAGATCAATGAGATATGCGTCGTGCTAAAAATGAAAACGGAGAGCGTCGATTTGCTGTTGGCGAGTTTTTATCACCACAGCAGATAAAGTCGCATTTCTTAAGGTCAGCATCAAAAATCAAACAGGCGGGATCTGTAGCAGAGATCGATGTACCAGCCATTGATGAAGAAATGGTATACTTCTCAGCTCGTGACAAGATAATTCAAGAGTGCCAGCTTAGTCATCCCATTTTGTAGGGCACGTACAACCTCTGTCAACCTTCAAGATTTAGTCACATAATCCACTTGGAAATCGATTCCCTTCCTGCTACACGAAAAGCGCCATACATTGGTCTGATCAATGAACTGATAAAGTCGAAGACATACAAGGAAAAATAGAAACTTTCCAGTTAGAAGTGACCATAGTCTTCGTATTCAGAAAGTAAGGACTCCTGGAATAGAGAGACACTAACATTATTCCAACTGTCTTAAAGTGCACCTAAACCCAAAATTTTTTTTTCGCTTAACGAAATAAGCTTATTTTTTGGAGTATTTCTGTGCAAAAATTGTTTAATTTGCTCAAATCTTTAATTTTCTATGCCCAGTCAAAATACGGAAAATCGGCCGCCATCTTGCCCCACGACCGAGTTTAAAGAAGAATGGCTCTAGCGGGTAATGTGACGTCAGATCGAGAACACGAAAGTCTGCATCTCACACATTTTCACTTGTTTGGGAAGATTGGCGTCTATATTGTCCGAAATATGCCGACTAGGTGTGTGAAAATGGTGGAGCGGGCTAAAGTGCATACTCTTGGCATGGAAACCACTTCTTAAGGTAGCATTTTGTGTAATTATAGCTTGGTCGATTCCTTCTGATGTTAACAAAGTTTTTGTTATTGCTGGGTTGGTATTAGTTGCGAATATGGCCGTTGTAACAACATAGACCAGCACTTTGCATATACTAGACCATCGAAAAATGCCCAGATTGCCATGACTTTTTGGCCTCAGGAGAAAATTATATGTAAATTGAATATGAAGGAGACCTGTTTCGAAGTTTTTGTATGATATAAGAGGGAATTCGAGTGTTTTAGTAATGTTTTTCTTGATGTGACGTGCAAGTCACGTTGGTCACGTAACGTGCTTCTTGAGCTGAAATGCGCTTGTATACGTCGCCCTAAAAATTCGCAGTTTAAGTAGCCCAAAAATTTTATTGCAGTTTCTGAAAGAAGAAAGCTTCTTTTTGATAATGGTTGTTGTCTCAGTTTATGGAGCCATGTAACAATGGCCGATTTTAGTCGCCAAAGTTGAGCTATGTTTTGATGGCTGAAGTTTTACCTGAATTAGAAAATTCGTAAAAGAATCGCCTTTTAAGAAATCTTGGAAAAAATTACTTCAGAACCTTTGAAAAACATCTCTTGTTTTAGAATTGTTGTATGGTTTCCGAATTGCTGGCGAAATAAGTTTTTTTCGGCCGTTATCTTGAGGTGCACTATTTTACCGGGAAAACACGGTTATGAACCCCCAATACACAAGATGCCACCATTCTCCCAAAATAATTTTTTCGGCCTTTTTGATATTTTTCCGTAACTAAGGCCATTCATACCTATGTTCTGGCAAAGTTTGAAAAATTTCAATTTTTTTATTTTCATCACCTCTGCTCGATTTTTACAGACGACCACTCTTAAAAGCTAACATTACCTTCAATTCGTGATTAGTTACTTCAGATCCTAGTGTGGAAGTGATCAGTCTTATGAAAGCTCTTCTTGTTCTTAATTATCACTGGACAACGCTTTATGAGGTGAGCGTCAGTTTTTGGCTGCTTTCCACTTTTAAAACAACGAAGTAAACTGTTAAGAGTATGTCTTGCGATTAGCGCAGTTGAAAATGTGTACAGCTATGTGTTCGTTAGACGAACATGCAACTAATTTTACTTTATTATATATCTGTTTTCAGGGGCAAACTCGTAGAGTGTTTTTGTCTTCTAGTGAATTTATAAACAACAAACTTGCGGCAAAAATTACACGGCAGTTACAAGGTAATTTGTTAGTTTTATCATAGATCAAGATCAAGCCTCTTACGTGCTATACAATTAACGTTACTGACCTTTAAATAGTAACATTGTTTCTTCTCAATCAGATCCTATCACAGTAATAACTGGGAATTTTCCTGCTTGGGTAGAAGAACTGCCTCGAAAATGGTAAGCACAAAAGTTGTTTTGGAGATTTTCAATATCAATAATATCAATATAGATCAATTTCTATAGCGCATTTCCATGTAAATGCTCTAATGCGCTTTACAACACTGTGCGGGGGACTTTTCCAGACTGCCGGCGGCAGTTTACAATTAATAAAGGAGAAATTTTTACAGATGCCCCCTCCCCCCCTTCCCAGTAAACAGGCCAGACCACATCACAGTAATCTCGTGATGTGGGTTCTTTAACGTCCCTTGCCGAAATTAACTAATTGATAGGTGCAGGAGACGGGACCTCCGGCTTTACGTCCTATCCGAGAAGACGAAGCAATGTGAGTGAAGCGTCTTGCTTAAGGACACAACGTCAAGCCCCAGCCAGGACTTGAACCCGGGCCATCTGACCTAGAGTCCAGCGCACTGACCACTGGACTACTCACGCCTCACA